TCTGCCGGGCCCTGTGGGTCCCTCCCTGGCCGGGAATCGAACTTGTGCTGCAGTGGCTGCAACAGCTTCACCATGCTGCGCTTTAACCTGTTGCACCACCAGGGAGGGCCTCAGCAGTGGATTTCAGTGGATCTGCCTATTCTGCTCCCCAGTGTCTCTGGTGAATCTTCTCACCCCCGCACCTCTGGCCTGTACCCCAATTCTTGTCTGCACAAATAAATTCATGTTTTGTATTGTTTTTTAAAAAAGGAGTATTGCACACGGTGAGAGAAGCCATGTTTCATGGTCCTGTTTATATCTCAAGCAGGCTCATCATCTCGAGGCAGAAAGCAGTGGAGCGAGGGTGAGGGTGGAGAGGGGGCCCTCAGTTACTGGGGGCTGGTAGCTAAAGGACAGGGCTTCTCCTAAAGTCAATGGTGTGATAGTTGCATGACTCTGAATAGAGTAAAAGTCAGTCACTTTGAGTGGGTAATGCACAGTTTGTGAATTTAAAAGGGAAAAACAAAAACTTCTACAAAAAAAAAAGCTTCCCACCATGTTAGTCTCTATATTAATAGAGACTCTGAAGGGCACCTTACTTCACTCAGGCCAGAAGCCGTGGGCCTTAAAACGCATTTTTAAAATGCCTACATGCTGTGTCTCTCTCCTCTCAGTGACCTTGTTCATTCCACTAAGGCCGCCCCATCCTCTGCCCATTCCTGCTTTTAGGGCCTTTGCCTGGGCTGTCTCTAGATCTGGAGTGACCCTTCCTTACGCAGCTGCTAAGCTAGCTTAACAGGCTTCACATCTTTACTCAAATGCCCCCTTCCTTATAAGATCAGCCTGACCACTCTATGTTAAATTTATTTACACATCCAAGAACTGGGGTACAGACCAGAGGTGTGGGGGTGAGGGGATTCACCAGAGACAGAGTGGGGAGCAGACAGATTTACTGAAGTCCACTGCTGAGGGAGCAGCGGGGAGACAGGAGGGGTCTGCTGCGCCCTCGGGCCAGAGCGGGGCTGCAGCGGCTGCAGATAGCGTCATAACGCTTTAAACAGTGGCTTGGGGAGGCTCTGTCTTGTGTTTCCTTTAAGTTTTCCCCTTCTGGATAACTAAGGGTGAGGAGAAAGAGGAGTCTCACCCATTGTTTCTCCCAGCTGGCATGGGCCTCCGGCATACACCTCTCCCATTTCACCAGAGGCCTCTGAGAAAGTGTTACTATCCAACCGAGGACACTGCTGGCCCAGAGACAGAGCCTGCGAACAGGAGCTGTCTAGTGAATATTTATTGGATTGAATTGGTGGGGAAAACACCCAAGGACGAGCGAGTGCCATGAAGCCACCCAAGGCCACCAAACCTTCCCCTCCACCCTGCCCGCGGTGCTCAGCGCAGCGCTGGGGGTTAGAAAGGAGAGGCCTGGCGCGCAAGCGGCTGTGCACCCTGGCACCAAAACCCCGCGGCCCGGAGCACTCCGCCCGCCGCATCCCCACCCTCTCCCTGAGGGGCCGCCCGCGGCTCCCTGGACAACTAGGCCAGGCCTGGAGGCTGGGAGCCCCCCAGCAGGAGGAGGGCGCGC